CCCCGGACTAGGGGGTACGCTGCCGCAGATCGTCCTGCTCGACGGCATGGACGCCGCCGGCGCCTGCCCCGACGGCGGCGGCGGCGGCGCGCTGCCGCTGGGCGTGCCGGCCGTGCCCCCCGGCTTCGCGGCGGTGGCCCTGCCAGAGGGCTTCACGGTCGACGCGACCGGCGCGCTCTGCGGCCCCGACGGCGCGGCGCTGGAGGACCAGCAGGCGGCGCTCGCGGCGGCGCTCGCGCACGCGGCGGGGGCCGCGGGCGAGCTGGGCGGCGAGGTGGACGAGCAGCACGCGGAGCTGGTGCATCAGCAGCTCGCGGCGATGCTGCAGCAGCAGCCGGAGGCGTTCCACCCTTACGCCCCTGACGACCTCGGCGCGGCAGCTCAGGGCGCGGGCAGCAGCGGCGGCGCGGGCGAGCGACCGCAGCAACAGCAGCAGCAGCCGCGAAAACGGCAGCAGCAGGAGGAGCAGCAGCAGCAGCAGGGGCGGCAGGATGAGGGGGCCGTGGGCGCGCAGCGGGCCGGGTACTACGCGCCCCCGGGGCTCCATGCGGCCAAGCAGCTGGCGGCGGCGCTGCAGCAGCAGGAGCAGCGGCAGCGGCAGCAGCAGCAGCAGCATGACGAGCTCGCCCGCGCCGGCGGCGACGAGCTGGGAGGCGGCGCGGCCGCACTGGCTGTTTTTGGCGGGCTGCCCGGCGGCGGAGGCCACGTGCCAGACATGTTTTTTGCGCAGCCTGCGGTGCAGCTGACCTGATCCAAGTCCGCGCGCGGCCTGCCATCGGGCCCCCTTCTGGCTGGCCAGCTGCGGGGTTGTACTTCCGCCACCTGCTTGCTGTGTGGTTTTTGCGCGCGTCCCGTCCATCGCTTCGCTTCTCCATCACTCGAAAAATCGGCATCAACTCACCTGTGTGGAACGCCCACCTCCCTCGTCCCCCGTCACCCGCCCCAATGCGGCATTCAACATTTCGGCGGCCCCCCCTTCTGCAAGGGCTCCTGGCTGGCCCCGCATCGTCCCCGTGTCCACCGCACCCACCCTTTTCCATCTTGCGGGCTTGCGCGATTGGCCACGCACGACTGCAAATCAAGTGGCGATTCAAAGTCGCGCCGCTGTAATTGTTTACAACCATCCTGGCAACGCCTTGGCAGCAGCACACCCTGACGCGTGCGCCAGTCGTGGATATCAAAGTGAGCTGCGGGTGAGAAGCAAGTATGGGTCCTTGTCGCGGTGAGTAGCAAGAAACGTACTAATTAAGCTGGACGTGTGGGCATGTTTTGTGTTTGCACACTGGCGCGTTCCCCACTTCCACACATTGTCAGCGATGCCCTGGCAGGTGTTCCGTGCGCAGGTACGCCAAGTGGTCGCAAGGTGCAAGCAGCATGTCGGGGCAGTGCAAAGCGCGGCAAGCATAGGGGCCTGCTGGAACAAATACAAAGCCGGGGGCTGCACTGGTCCAAACGCAAAGCCGGGGGCTGCACTTGCCTGCGCATCCAGGACTTGCGCTACACAGCGACTGCGGGTCCAAGATTGGCGACTCAGCCGGGCAGCACCCAACTGCACTCGCCCATGGCAATGGCTGTGCGTTCGCCACAACGAGTCAGGTGACTGCATCGGCACCAATCACACGATGTACTTGCTTTCACAATGCCCCGGGGCAGCTGCAGAAGAGCGCAGGCGTCACTACGTCACTTGCCCTGGGTCACCAGGACTGCAGGCCACAGCAGCACAAGGACCAAAATCAGCGACGGCAGGATTTCGTCCGTAATCCTTTTTCGGTTACTTTGCATCCGCCGTTCATCGTATCCCCCGTACCCCTCACTAGACCAAACGACTGGCGCCGTTCACCCCCGCCTTGGCATTCGTTTGAGCTCTTGCACTCAAAGGTGCTGATAACTACAGCTATTTATGATTCTTGTTTGAGGGAAATTGTGGTGTGGGAAGCGCGTATTGGCGTCAGGCCGGGCCTCACAGCGAGGTTGCCGTGCCCTGGGGCGTTCGTGTACGACTGTTATATATGCGTGGAGTGGATTTCGCAGCTGCATCATGCTTATTAGCCCGGCCCCGTTCCAATCCACCTAACCCACAGGATGACTGCGTGCTTTTGTAGTGTGCTGGTGGTCGCCTTGATGATGCTGGCAGCGGAGGCCAAGGCCCAGACAGACCCGCCAGCATGTGCATGTGAGTGCTGGGGCCAATCAAGACGCTGCTCTGTCCGCAAGCTGTGCCAGGCTGCACCAGGCTGCACCAGGCAACACCGCAATGCGCGCAGTCCAGGAACGAGGGGGGCTCAGCAGGATCGTGCACCCCCGGCCCCGCCACCACCACAGTACATTCAATCAGTGACTGCAGGCCCCTTGTTGATTGTGATCAACTGAATTCAGGACAAGCATACACATGAGCATCCCTCGCATCACCGCCTGGATGCCCCGCCTTGACCTCCCCCCCGCCTGCGAATCCGCAGCCGTGTATCAGGCGGTCAAAGATGACTCAGGCGCCACAGTCCAGAGCGACTACACCACCATCGCCTGCACTACTGTCCCCAAGAAGTTCAAGGCCATCTCGAACGCGCTCAACCCCAAGATCACCAAAACAGTTGGCGCCCCCACCATCAAGGTGTCCGGGTTCGGATTTCTTGGTGGCTCTTACACGGCGTCCTTCGTCCCCAAAAAGTCAAAGACCGTCTGGATCCCTACCCGCACAGACGGTGCAATCACGTGAGCGGCTGCTGGGGGCCCGGGAACGTCGTGAGGTTCGGGTGCTTCACCGGGTGCTTGTCAAGAAAGGCCTCCAGCGCAAGCGCAGGCGGCAGCAGCAGCGGCAGCGGAACCGGCAGCGGAAGCGGCAGCGGAAGCGGCAGCGGAAGCGGCAGCGGAAGCGGCAGCAGAAGCGGCAGCGGCAGCGGCAGCGGAAGCGGCAGCGGCAGCAGCTCCAGCACCAGCAGCAGCAGCACAGGATTCTTAGGCAAGCTAGTAGTCAGCGTTGCCAACAGGACGTCATCGGCTTTGGGCTGCAATGATGCCAATACAAGCCTTTTGAGGGGGGAGGGTAAGAGGCAGGCTGGTCAGCAGGCAGGCAGGCAGGCAGGCAGGCAGGCAGGCAGGCAGGCAGGCAGGCAGGCAGGCAGGCAGGCAGGCAGGCAGGCAGGCAGGCAGGCAGGCAGG